GGACAAGGGAAAGGCGGCCGTCGTTGCCCTTGGTAGCTCGTCTGTAAAATCAGCCGCCTTTTTTTTTTGTACTTCTCCCCACTTGGTACACCCTTCTCCATGTTCGATCGATCGAGATTGTTCGAGATTTTTGGGAAAAGAAAGCGACTTTTTTTTTTGGTAAAAAGGTGTCGAATATCACAGAACAAATCATCTAGATTTCAATTATAATATTTATATGTTTAAACTCATTATTGTTGCTAGTAAGTTAAGTTAAGTTAGGTTAGATTACTGTTCTCTTCTTGCTTTTGTCCAATTCTTCAAAGAGTAGGAAAAGAAAATAGATTGGAACTTGGATAGAGAATTGGATAAAACAAATAAATATTGTAGAATAATTACAAGCAAAAGAATATTTTAAAATGATTTGCTAACTTTTTATGATTTTTATAACTATTTAATGATTGCATACGATTGTATATTATATATTATATATTCATAAAGAAAACATGATACTCGTGTAGCAATATTAAATTTCTAAACTTAACTTGCTTATGTCAATGATTAATAATCTACCTTTGCCATTTCCATATTTCTTAAAAGCTATACAAACAATTTTCCTTTCTTTCTTCTGACTACAATCATTTAGAATTCCTCTTTTACAAAATTTAATTTCATTTATCATTTTCATTTATAACTCAAGATATTAGAGTTTCCAATTACACAAAATTATTTGTATACAAAAATATAATTAATAATTTTCATGATCCATTAGTGTTTCAACTAGACAAATTAAATTTGGACGGATCATTTGTGGATTAGAATGTATTAAAGAACAATGGATGGCCTTTTTTCACGAAAGCAATGTGTCTCGGTTGATATTTGGCGACGTCTAAGCGGCCAATATTTTAGGGAGTCTCGTTCCAGCGGCGAAAGCCCGAGATTAGATCACGTCTAAACTTGTAGTAAGCCTGGACAGAAGATTTCATCGGGCCATTTGTCGCGCACCGTCAGAACAGAATCGGTCGGATAGGCGCGCGATCGTAAAACGCGATTTAGTCGGCGTGGAAACGTCTCCATTTAAATAAACTCTTCCCGCGTAAGAAAGGATCTTTTGATGATCTCGTCCTGCTAGAACGTAAAACGGCGATAGATTCCATTTCGAAAACCTATGCGTGCAGAGGCCGTAAAATTTTCGAAACGCGCGAAACATCGCCCTTCCGCCTCTATCTTATTTTATTTTCCTCGCGAGAATTATCATTCCTTGTGTGCCTCAATCAATTTACGACTTTCTCGATAAAATGGACTCGAGAACATCTTTAGAAAGATTTCAATTTTATTTATTAATTTTGATTCTTTCAAACAAAATTAATTCGTTGACAATTGATATTGAGGGATCGAAAGAAAATTTGAATTTTATTAATAAGTATCAAATTTTAAATAATGTATAAAAAAAATCGTTAATTGATAAAAAAACAAAATTCCATCCTGAAATAGTTAGAAATTTACAATATCATTATGATCATTTTTGAATTTTCAAAATAAATAAAAAATTATGTGTTCCTTGAAATGATCTAGAATCCGATCTAATTAATTTTTTCTGACAACAATTTCATAAGAAGAAACTTAAATTATACCATTATACCATATTTCAAAATATTACTAATATTATTTACCCGTAGAACAATATAATACCATTTGCAAAATCATTCACCTCCAATCCTTCCTTCCTTCCTTCCTTCCTCCCGACAAGATCAACACCCATAATATCAGCAATCGCGCAAGGATTTCCATTAATCGTCCTTCTATTCTCGCGTGTTCTTGCCGAATCCGATTCTCGGTACCCCGTCAAGCCGCGTCACGCTTCGTTGTCGGTAACCACACCATCACCCACCCTTCCGATGGATCGTCGATAGGTATTTTAGGCTACAGTATATAATAGTACATAGCTATAACAGAGCTCGCGTGGGAGCAGCTCTCCCCAGTGGGACACGCAGCGAGAGAGAGAAAGAGAGAGAGAGAGAGCAGGAGCCAAGAACAGGAGGTATCTGGAGAGCGAGAGAGAGAGAGAGAGAGAGAGCAGGAAAAAGGGGAGAGAGGGAGATCGATCGAATCGCCATTACGGCGAGTGAGTGGCGGGGTTGCTCGATGGAATCACGCCGCCGCTGGGGGTTTATTCTCCGTATATATTTGCCGGAGTATCACCCTCGACCCAGTAGGATGTCGCTGTGTGGGGAGGGTTCGATGCTTCGGCGCGGCCGCCCAGCCCGCGGCCAGGGGAACGAATCTAGGAACGCCGACTTTCGTCTGTCTCTGTTTCACTGTATCACTCTTGTCTCTTTCTCTTTCCCTCTTCCTCTTTCTTTCGCTAACCGATAATTCCTGTTTCACTCTATCCAAGCGGCTGGCACTTTGGATCTTGGGAAAATCTACGGGGAATTCGCACCCTCGATAGGATGCCACTTTTCCAGCGAAGTGGCTCGACTCGACAAATGTTGAACAATGGTTACGTTTTTATACCGTTCGTGTGTTTTTGGAATAGTAGATGCCTGTAATTGGAATATTATCGGTTTTAATAGCGAGACGTTTTTAAATCGTTCGAAGATAAATTATTAATTTCTATCGCTGAAATTGCCGTTTTCGTGATTAAGAAAGATATATTTTTGGGAACAAGAAATGTATTTTAAAATCGGAATATAATAGTTAGAATTTATTTAGATTCGCGTTACTGGTGCGTGAAGAGTCGCTCTGCACGAAAAAAGACGACTTAAGCCGAAGACACACGAACGTTAAAAAGCGAACGTTACGTACGTGATGGCATTACGTTGTATGGCATAGGAGCGACATCTGTGACAATTTAAAAATTCGTTGGTTCGTTGGCAATTTTATCGTTCGAATATTCGAACGAATATTTTTTGTGAAACTTTACTAGTGAAACTTTACTAATTCTGAAGCATATTAGAATCACATTTGTTTCTTTACAAGTGAATAGTTTCCCGTTTTGGGCGGCCATTTCACAATACATCGAGAGCGAGTCGATTTACAAATCGATACGATCTTTCCAGATATGGCGCCGGATACGATTTGGCAGCGCGGCGGAAAAACGCGACAAGGGAGTCGACGGCCACGCTGAAGGCATGGCTGAACGAGCACAAGAAGAATCCTTATCCGACCAAGGGCGAGAAGATCATGCTTGCGATCATCACGAAGATGACACTGACGCAGGTATCCACTTGGTTCGCGAACGCGCGGCGGCGTCTGAAAAAAGAGAACAAAATGACCTGGGAGCCGAAAAACAAAACCGACGATGACGATGACGCGGTTCTCACAGACTCCGAGGACAACAAGGAGAAGGATGATCTCGCGGGTGACAATCAAGGCGACAGAGTCGGAGAGGACGCGAGGAGAGGCCTCGAGGAAAATGGTGAGTGACTTTTTTTCGTAATTTTACACTTGAGGTTTGATATATAATTATCCTCGAATCTTTGAAAGATGTTGTTTTTGAAAAAAACATTATAAATTATGCATTTAAAACGTCACAAGATAGAAACAAAATAGTAGGATATATACGTATAAAATAGATGAAATATATATTTAAGGTTATAAAAAATGTAGAGATCTTTTTCAAAATCGAGCGATCAAGATTGTTCTTATTAGATCATTTTTCAACAATATTTATTCGTTATATGATTTTCAACTTAAATAAAGTAATTTATTTATTTTTACATCCGAACCGATCATATAACCTCAATCGTTCTTCGTCTTTCTTCTGTCCTTCTTCGTTATTACCTGCGAACAAAAAAAGGGTCGAATTTCGTTTCTCCAATAGTTACGCGTTCTCGCGGTCAGTCTCGAGCTTATAACGAGCGAACAGTAATATTTCGAACGGCGACCAGAAAAGACAAAAAATACACATTCTCTGGGCGAAAAAGCCAGGGTCGAAACCTCGTTTCAACGTGGCTATGCGCCGGCAAGTTTAGTCGATAAGCTTGCACGCGTGTAACAGCACGAAACGCAAAATAATCCATGCAGTCGTGCATGCATTCGAGCGAAGAATGTTCGAAGAACAACCCGTGTCTCGAATCTCGGAAGAAGCACCGCCATTAGGGGCCAATTATCGATGTTCACAACGATGTATAGTGCATGTATATACACAATAGCGACGAGTCGCGGTCGAGGGTGAACCTAGCCGCGGAACGTATATACCGATCTCTTCGAGGAATGTCGGTAGCGTGTATAGCTCGCGTGACTAGTTTCCCCGATATCGAGTGGCCATCGGTCGCCGCGTTTCTGATATTGCGCAAGCATCCATTTCGCGCACAATAACTGTACGCGACCTCACCCTGCATGGATCGGGCCATTCACGGAGATCGGCTACGAGATCCTCGAGAAACGTGGAACGTTAAGGACAAAAGCGGAGCTTCTGTGATCCTTTCGAGTACCGCTACGATTTACGATAAATACCACTCTACTCTATTGGATTCCGGAGGTATACGAGTTTTTTGTGATACATCGTTTTAGGGGTGCGAGTACATTTGGTTATTTTTTTTTATTGGAAAAGGATAATTCTTTTAGATTAGTATAATAAATAAAAATATGTATAAACATTTTGGAAAATTTGAAAATTGGGATAATCACTTAGACTAAAAGTGCGAATATGTCTTGGAACAAAAAGCTTGGAAAGTTATTCTTTTTTGTAATGGATATTTTGAGAGATAAAATTACTATTGGATATTCATTTCGTGTCCAATCTGACACAATTTTTCAAGAATTATATGTATTCTAATGATATTGCCATGATGATTTTTCAATAGTAATATTTTTTGGCATATATTACAATATATTGCATATATATTACTATATATATTACAATTTCTGATTAATTTTGTTGTTTATTCAAAATGTTTCTAATACAAAATTCAAAGCTGCCTACAAAATCATTACATAATACCATGACAATCTTTTTATTATTTTTTCTTAATCGAAAATATTTCTAAACTTTTAAAATTCCTCAGAATTCCTGCACAAACTCATGTAGCACCTTCAACTTTTCCATGTTCGATCGTTCATTTTTGAAATTCCTCTTACCTCACTATCCGGGCTCGTAAATCCTCCAACCACGTTTCCAATAACCGTGCAACCGTGCGACGTAAGAAGCAGATCGTTCCTGTTGGCGCAAGTTTTAAAATCGCCATATAGCGTCGTTTGTCCCATGCACAGCCTGTAAATTCAATTACCCAAACTCGAGTCTCTGAGTGGCGCTGAAATCGGTCGACGAGCGAGACGTCCAGTCGTTTTCGTGTCGCGCGCCCCCTAGTGTCGGCTCTCGGCCATCTCGATAGGCCGCTATACTTATTCAGGCATTTTGCCCAACGGGCGGAAACGGCGAGTTAGAAATTCGCTGCGAAACCGGCCGTGTGTCGGCCTCTATATCGCGGAGGCGGACATAATGGTTCACATGTGGGTAAACACAGTGACGGGTTGCGGGTTGCCGCGCAAAGAGATTAATGGCCTTCGGTTTGGTCCCCTGGTGGACCGCTCGGTTCGTCGTCGTGTTAGTATACGTGCGCTCACGCTTTCACCGCGCATAGTGGCGTGCATATACCGAGTCTCGTGCGTGTGGTAGTACGNACCGCACATTGGCCAATATCGGCCCTCTCTGTTCCTCCCTGTTCTTCTCTTCCTCTCTGCCTTGTCCACCGCCCTTTCTCGCATTCTCTCTCTCGCATTCTATTCCCCCTCTGTCTCGCTCGCCACGTCTCTCGGTTCGATTCCGGGACATTTAGGTGTTGCGTTGTCACGCGCGTGATGCATCGTAATTTTAAAGGACCACGCCACCGGGAAATAAGCCCACCCGAATATATCCGGCGAGAAGGAACGATGCCCCGTACGAAAGCGATTTGTTTTCTATTTCCAGACCGCTCTCTGGGCCCGTGGTGATTTGTGATCGCGTATGAATATATCCCGACTCGTTTCGAGGGATATTGGCATCGAAGGAGACGCGTAGTGTATATTCGGTCGTGCGTGTTATGGATCGTTCCATGCCTATGAATGTTGAAAGCGGTTTCCATATTGCTGGACCTTGAATACGGTTATAGCGTGTATAGCGGGCCGAACGAGACAACCGCAAGGAAGTTTGCTAAATTCAAGAGAGAGCCCTCATGAATTTCCATGCCAAACGTCGGAGGGAAGAGGTCACTCGAGAGCACGAGAGCTGCTTACGAGCCTGGCCTGTTGTAAGATTCCTTTCACGAGTGGTCCACTTGATTTTTTTTTTTTTTTTTTTGTCAACAGCAACAGGCTATCTTTATTATCGTCGGGAAAATATCAAAGCTGTCATTTTTTAAAATATTTATTCGTTATAAGCTTATACAAGCATCTATACTATTGGCTAGAAATTTGAAATCGCAATTATAATTGTAATTAGATGAAGTCTTTGTTTATAAATTAATAAATTAAATTGTTTATATATTAATTTCACTTTTACAATAGATCTATTTTACAATAGAATATTATAAAAGGTATTTAAAAAAATTTGATTCATAAATTTTTTTCATAAATTACTCGTTTCCATACTGCGTTCCAATTTTTCTTCATTTTTGTAACTATCTAGTTATATATTCCTTATTATTTATAAAGATAAAAATAAAGCTAAAATTCCTAGCATTCACAATTGTAATCATTCCTATACTTGCGCGGTAAAGTAAATATTGTATCTTCGCGAACATCAGAAATCATCGAATAGATTCACCCAGCGAAGATTATGAGATTAACGTCTGATAAAAGGGGGTCAAAAGTTAAAGAGCCACTTGTGGACTCGACGGTGGTATCTATTTAGTTGGCCCATAAGGTTCCCTTTATAAAGGGCCGGCACCCTAAACTCCTCTGTTTCTCCGATGATATCTCTCCATCTCTCTCCGGCCCACCGTTCCACCCGTCTATCCGTCCATTTCTGTTTCCCGTTCACGGGGAGGCAGTCGGCCCCTTCCAGCTTGGGAATTATCGCTTGACGACCCATCAAGTAAACCCTCTGCCGACTCATTCGAACCTCTTAATGAAATTCTCACCCCTGACTGACTGGCTGGCTTGGCTGGATGGCTAGCTGGCAGACGCTTGGGACGATCCTAGAGTGCCCCAAGAGAGAGAGAGAGAGAGAGACTCGAGCAGCGGAAGAGCGAGAGAAAAAGACAGAGGAAAAAGGATACGGCCTTCCCTATTTTCCCTTCTCGATGTGTTTCTCCGCTGCCTCGAGGGGGAACTAAAATCTCTCGCGCCTCAAAGTGGTTGAAGGCTTCGCTCCCTTTTTTTCACAGCATCCCTTACAGCTTAACCGTATAAGGGTCCAAGGGAGACTCCCGATACATAGCACTCCCTCTCGAGCGCTTCGATATATATATATATATATATATACCATCCG